ATAACGTGCGTGGGTACAGGCTTACATATGTGAAAAAATCTGCCCCCTTACAACGCTGGACCTCAGCTCTGCGCCCTGCGTTCACCCACTATACCAAGGAGCTCTATACATGACACTTGAGGGTAACAATCAATGCAACGATGTATCCATCAGATGCTTCCAGACATAAATAGATCTCAGCAGTGACCAGCAACCTGTGGCCAGCCTGGTGGGCAATCCTGCTTGAAGGGTTTTGCCAGATAACCAGCCTCTTCTGCACACGTTCACGGTTCCCCCTTACATGGCCTGTCAAGCAGCCTCTGGAGCTGAGTTCTCAGGCATCTGTCTACAGAGCAGATACCTACCTGAAGAAGAGTCCCCCACTGCCACCACTGACATTTCTCTATCGTGGAAAATGGTTAGCAAGTGTTGCATCTTGGATCTAAAGTCTCACGTAAGCCAGGCATGGTGGTGCATACCTATAACCCAACAGTCTAGGAGGCTGAAGCAGGAAGATCACAAGTTCAAGCTCAGCCTTGGCCACTTAGAGATAAATAAATAATGTTTTAAAAGATGGAGATGTAGCTCAGTGTGAAGATCATGTATTCGATCCCCTGTGCCACCAAAAAAGAAAAAAAAACGGGTTTCCTGTTCAGAGTTCGGGCTGCCGGAAGGTGTCTGGGTCGCGGGCACTCCTGCCGGGCTCACAGCTGGCTGACTGTGTCGTAGCCAGCAAGTTACCCATCTCCTCCAGCCCCAGAGTTTGCAGCTGTGGGAGACTAAAGTTTCACAAACTAAGTGCAAGGATTTTGGGGCTAAAAAAAATCAGTTCAAGCTTTAATTTTTAGTATAATATAATATCTATCATACCATTATTAAAACTATTCTGACTTTACTCTGGGCAGTTAGCAGAATTCAAAGTATAAGAACGATTCTAACCACATGGATATTTTCCACAACCAGGGATGAGCTCAACAAACATTTATTGAACAAATTTTAAATGCCAGAGGCTGGATCCTGAGCTAGCAACCCATTACTTTGTACTTGTGTTTTGTGAATTCTTAGCCTTGTTTCATTTTCATCGATGTAAAAAAAAAAAAAAAAATGAGCCTTTGGTCACAAATCTGTCTGCTGGCCTGAAACAATGCCCAAAGTTATGCAGGCCATCCAGGAATGATCTACTGAAGAAAAACACATGTATCTCCTTATATATTAATGGATGACAACCTCTATGAAAGGGAAAATATGTAAAGCCAACAAGAAATCATTTTAATTTTTTAAAAGAATTTTTTAAAAAGTTTTAAAAGCCTGAGTGTTCCAGAATAAAGAAACACAATTTTAATATTTTCAAGTATTTGGGAAAGCAAAGTCTAACTATTATGAGGGTACCAATGGCTATCTGGTCAGACTTGGTTTAACAAACCAATAAAAAGCATCTGGCCTTAGCACGATGTGTGGTCACGAAAATGTTTGTGAAAGATAAGCTCTGAGCAGGGATAAATCCAGCAAATAGGTGCTGAACGCCCCAAGTAATGAGACAGTGTCGGCCCATTTATCATGAACATCACTCGTTCTGGGCCGGGCTTGTGCATTTTTCCAAAACAAATGTGATCCAGAGGCCTGGATGGTCTTTTTCCCACATCACTGACCCACTTTCCTACCTTGGCAACTTTATCTTAATTTTATAGGCCATTTCCCGTCTAAAATGCAGGCGTTGTTTAAACCACTGACCCCAAATGGTCTTTAATCTCAGGAAATGGATTCGGTCTCGATAAGCCACAAAGGAGAAATGGCACGAGGGGGACCCAGGGCAGACGCAGCGGGTGCCGGCGGTGCTGCCGCGCTAGGGGTCCCCAACCCCAGCTGGACCCCACCCTGCCAGCCTCCCCAGCTCTCGGGCTCCGGGCTGGTGCGTGGACTTTGACTTGCCATTAAGGATGCGAAGCCTGGACTCGGTGGGTTCTCGGACGGGCAGGACCCAGGGGCCCGGGATGGTCCCCACTGGCATCCACTTCTCTGTCCTGCCCCGGCCTCTCAAGGTGGAACTGCTGGCAACAACTGCAGCCAACAGGAAAAAGAGGAGCCGCGGGCAGTTGGGCCCCATGCAGCTTCCGCTCCGCCGAGGACTGGTTCAGGGCCCCGTTGTACCTGAGGCTCCCAGCCAGCATCACTGCTAAACGCAGAGTCTCAGGCGCACCCACACCCCGGACTCAGAGCCTGGGGTGCATTCTCAAGCCCCCCCGGGGATGCAGGGTAAGCGGAGCGGTGCCCCCAGCCTCAGGGCTGCCATTTCTGTGCTCTCCCCTGGCACACAGGAGCACTACCGACAGATACACTCTCCCGGCCTCACTGCTTTGCTCCCGGAAACTGGGAGCCTGGCTGGGGCCAGGGTGCTGGTCCACGGCAAGTGCCACCCCTGCAGAGCAAGCCCCCTTCCCAGTGGGTCCCACCAGCTGCCACCTCCTTTGCAAAACCGTGCACAACACCTGACCCTTTCCTGCCACCCCAGAGAACCGGGCCATTCTCTGTCTGGCTAAGGGAGGTGCTGGGGATGAGATGAACCTGCTCCTCTGATACCACATGACTTCTACTTAGGGCTCTGTTAGGTAAAGTGTTTCCCAAATGCACATTATCAGCCGGGCCTGATGGCCCTCGCCTATAATCCCAGCACTCAGGAGGCTGAGGCAGGAGCATTGCCATGAATTTAAAGCCTGAACTACATAGTAAGTTTAAGACCAGCCTGGACTACAAAATCTTGACTCCAAAAAAAATGGACCAAACTGTCAGTCCTGTGGCCTTCTTACCTAGAAAAATCACGCACATTATACTATGCATGACGATATGAACACCACCTTAAGCCAAGTTCCAGGGGGAACAGGCTGGTCCTCCCCGACACTGCACCCAACGCAGCAGACATTAGGGTGTTACTGTGTTCTTTGAAAAATCTAAAATGTAACTCAAAAATTAAAGCTAATCGGGAAAATTTGCTTGTATTTAAAAATGACCTGTTAAAGCCAGTCCTCTTGGATAACAGGGAGATAAAAAATCCTAGCTACATAAAAGGGTAATTTTGAATTTTAAAATAAACTTTGATTTCTATTTAACAAGAATAATGTCCTTACTTTTAGTAGCCAAACCTTCCACCAATTCAACAATACTATTGTTTTAGCAAAAATGAAGGGAAAATACCAAGATAGTCTTCATTGGGTTTATCTGTTGTCTGCTGGAACAGGAAACAAAAATGGATCCAGCAGCTTCAAAATTTCCCATGAGCTGAATGAAGCATGCTTAGGCATGTGTGCAGCCCCAGCACTCTGGGAGGCTGAGGCAGGAGGATGCCAAGTTCGAGGCCAGCCTGGGCAACTTTGCAATCTAGGGAGACACCATCTCAATGAAAAATTAAAAAGGGCTGGGGATGTAGCTTAGTGCAAATACCCTGGGTTCCATCTACAGACTGGAAAAACAAAGTCCCACATGTCAGGTAAGAGTTCTGCCTCCTGCCAAGAAGACAGGCACACCTTGAGGGCTGTTCCTGGCCCCAGAGCTGTCGCAGTCTCCAGCAGTCTGCAGAAGAGAGTGTGGCTGCAGGGCAGTTTGCAAAGTCACTCCTGAAACACCAAGTTAAAACTAGAAGATATCAGCTCTTCCTGAAGGAATATCTTTATTTTCTAAAGCAGAAATGCAGCGAACAGTTTCCAACAATTTTAATGGAGGCCAAACACAGAAGCAGTGCATCCCTGGGAGTCCTAAGGGAATGACCGAGTGGCCCCCACTGGGGTCTCTGGGAAACAGAAGGGGCAGGTGGGTCCTCGGCGAGTCACAGTGCCTCCCTCAGGAGGCAGCAGCTTTGCGGGGACAGACACAGCCGCGGGCACCGAAGCCCCTCGCAGGCAGAACGCCGTCTGTGGTGGGCATTCGGCACTTCCCCTACCTTCCCGCAAATCAAGCAGCTTCACAACTCAAACGACAGAAGCGGCCACCAAGCCTGCAAAGCCCTGCTGAGGCCCGGAACACGCTGTCTAGGCCAGGAGCCGGGCGCTGTGTTTCATCTGGGTGTCGGGCGCAGACTCGGGCCAGATCCTTCTGCACACACCTTCCTGCGCGCAGCAGCGGACAATGACACCCCTGCCACGAGCCTGCTGGGCCCTCCAGGACCCAGGACAGCTGCAGAAACACTGGAACCAACTGCGAGGAATGAGTTGATTTTCTCCTGCGCCGGGGCCTCCCCCAGCCTCAGCCATGGAGTTTGAAAAAGCTGGGTACTTAGGGCCAGGGATTTAGCTCAGTGGTGCCGCTGCCTGCCTCTCAAGCACAAGGTCCTGAGTTCAATCCCCAGTACAAAAAAAAAAATGCTGTGTCTTCGGCAGCTCCAGTTGGCAGGGTGTCCGCGCCCACTCAGGTGACGCTGGCCGAACCACAAGGCTGCGGTTAGAGCCATGCAATCTCGCAGCCACTGTCTCCACCCGACAAAGACTGTCCTGGCTTCCCATAGAAGGGACCTCAGCTGGGCGAGACTGCGCTGCTCCTGAGCGTGAGTCTAACTGAAGCTGGATTTATCCAGCTGGCGTGGTGACAAATGCCTGTAATCCCAGCATTCAGGAGGCTGAGGCAGGAGGATCATCACAGGTTTGAGGCAAGCCTGGGCTACATAGCGAGTTCAAGACTGGCCTAACTACATGGCGAGATCCTGTCTCAAAACAAAACAAAAAAACTAAGCCAACAAATAAAGCTAAAAATAAATAACAATAAATAAAAAATAAGCAAATAAAAATAAAAATCTAGGTATCGCATAGTCCACGCTGTAACTCTGATCTTAGAAGAGACTTGGAGAGAAGGCACAATGGGGAACTGTGCTAAGCACCCAGGGGCAGTGAAGCAGCAGAGTGCCACAGGAGGGGCAGGGCAGGGAGGGAGAAGGTGGCTTCTTCAGGAGGGGGTCAGTCCTCACCCCATGTCACCAGGTCACAGGTCTGGGACAACAGAATCAGGCCACGTGAGGAGGCCCGGCCTCGCCCAGCAGAAGAGGAGAGGCAGAGGCCAGGCCACTGTGCAGGGCCACAGCTGTGGGGAGAGGAGGCCAGGACTCCTAGAGGCACAAGGAGGAAGCCGCAGCTGAGGGCCAGCAGCCCTGGGGTCACAGAAGGGGGCGCCAGCGACCCAAAGGGGAGCTGGGACAGGGCGTGACCAGCTGGGCGCAGCACCTGGAGCCAAGAGGTGCGAAGGACAGCAGGGTGAGTGCCCCCTGGGAACACGGGACTAGGGGCTTCGTCCCAGGGACTGGGCGGGGCCTTCTGGGGGATGATGGGGACCCCACGGGAGCAGCAGGGCCACCCCAAGATGTACCTGGAAGTGCAGAGCTTGGGACAAAGCAGACAAAAGGGCCAAGGGAACAGGGGTAAAACATTAACCCCCAAGTTACCTGGCCTTGTCAACACCCCAAAGACACCCCAAAGAGACCACAATTAAAACCTGGTTTGTCCCTTCCCATTGTCTGCATAAGAATGGTAGGGATATGGCTTTGTATTGTTCCCCAGCTGACATTTTTTTTAGCGGTTGCTTAATAATGGCAGGAAGAACAGTGCCCTGACGATAGTATTTTAGGCATTCTATTGTGGCAGGAACGCCAAAGGCCAAGCCTGCTTGAGAGACACTGACGAGGTTAATCCCTTTCGGATGTCAGGAAGGGGGGCTGTTCAGCAATGTTTGCTGTGAACAAACACCCAGGACAGTTGGGGCGCAAGTCTCACTTTATCGTACCCTGTGAGTTCCTTTGTCTGCAAAATCTTTACCAGGTCTTCACTAAATAACCAGAAATGTGCCGGCAGGCTTGTTAATGGATAATGTGGGGTTTTAGTTCCCAGTCCTTGCCGGGGCTGGAGTGGGTTTTCTGGGTCAGTTCCTAGGCACTCACGCCTACAGGCAGTCATCCGTGTGTGACCCCCCCACAGCCCAGGGGACCGGCCACCTGGAGACAGGGACTCTCCCGGCCTCCTCACCTGCCCAGCCTCAGACCAGGACCCCCAGTCCTCTCTGTTCCTCAGTCTGGGTCCTAGGTCAGCTACCAGAGGTCAGCTACCAGATCGGTAACAATAGAAACAACGGCATCTGGTATCTCCACCAGGGAGCTTGAAGGTTACCCTTTAATGCAAAGGCCCTCAGGCTTGAGACAGGACAGGCAAGACTCTTCCTGGTCATAATTCCACCGCAGGTAAGAACAATAACCATGGGTCACAGTTCCTATCCATCCCACATGCTTCAGAGGTGAAATGGCCTTCCAGAAGTTTCCCAATTCTCCAAAGCTGGCCACCCCTGCGGCTTGGTTTCCCTGCACTATAGCGCTGACCAGCCTGACCCCATGGGCCTCTCTCCCCATAGCTCTTACCCTTCCGTAACCTTCAAGGGGGCAGAACCAGAGCGTCACCCTGTTTCATGGACAGCACCTGGGTGGGGTGGGGCCTAGGGGTGGGGTTTTAGATGCCTCTGAGGAAGGAAGGAAAAATGAATGGGTCTTTGGGAGGCATGGAGCAGCGAAACTGAGTCAGGAGATTCCAAGAGTCGGTGGTCAGCTGTTCGATAAAAGAAGTCACGAAATGTAGGATCCCCAGGTCCCTAAGCACTCTCACTCTGCGTCCATGTGGCCCAATTGCAGCACTGCTACTTTGGCAAGAGCCACATGACATACATACGTGGTCACTGCCAGCCAGTCCCCCTCCCGCTCCACAGACAAAGGGCACAGCGGCTGAGAGCATGGCCACCAGCACAGCCCGCGTGGGCTAAGGGTGCCCGAGGGATGCCAGCCCACTCACACAGGTTCATCTCGGGTGGAATGCGGGCCAGCCCTGCAGGGACTCAGATCGCAATGGCCGCTCTGCTCTGGGTCATCCAGGCCCAGCAGCAGTGATAAGGCATCCCCATACTTCAGAGAAAGGCCACTTTGCTGGCCCCGAGAGGGCATGTGAGGAAGCTTCACATAGGACCTGTGGCGGGGTCTGGCTGGGAGAGGCCTGGGGACCAGAACGTGTGCAGCGGGACACACCACACACACACACACACACACACACACACACACACACACACACACACACACACACACACACACACACACACACACACACACACACACACACACACACACACACACACACACACACACACACAACTGGCTACACCCTGCTCCTCCTTTCCAGGCTGAGAAAGATAAGGTGAGGACCGGAATGGAATGAAAGGTAGTTTCAGCCCAAGATAAAACAATGACTTGAAAAATCTGTCCACCAGTAAATGAGCAGTGATCTCAGGAGAGATAATCCCACGCAAAAAAAGAGTAATAAGTGCAACTCACACTTGGAGCACAGTAGGTCTGTGGCGAAGGTATTCGGACCCGGCCTGAAGAGGCAGCTAATTCAAGAATCACACCCGCTGGCTCCTGAGTGCAGATGTCCCAATCTGCAGTATTTAATTCAAACTTTATTTTTAAATTCTACTTTACTTGGTTTGATACTGGAGATATTCCAACATCTTGTTCTTCCCGACAGCTGATGTTGGTAGTAGGTAAGTAAAAATGTTATGGATGACATGAAAAGAGACATGAATTTTAAAATTAGCAAAATGTTACTTTTAAGTCAATGTTCATGGATGCCCATAGGTCATATGCACACTGTTTCTTTCTCTAATTAAGCCAGGAAAATTACAATGTCACAACATCTGTGAGGTCGGCGCCAGAGGGGCCACATACCAGGTATCTTAAGCCACTTGGTGATACCGTGGAGGACAGAGCAAAGCTAGTGGACAGGAATGCACTTGGCCTTTAGAAAACAGTTAAAATAATCCAAAAGTCAACAGCAACGAGTTTGATTTTTAAGGCAAGAACAGCAGTTTGCCTGTGTGAGTGATTTCTTCTTTTTTTTGAAGTCCTGGAGGTCTGAAACGCTAGCTCTTCAGTTAGCTCTGCCAGGCCAACACCGCCCTTAGGACATCAGCGCACACAGGGTTCTTATTTCCCAACAGACTCGCCCGCTCTCGCCTTCAAGGGTTAAACCTCTTGGTCAATATTTCTAAACCCATATAAAGCGCTCTAGCACCCACTCTGTAGAAAGGGCTTCATGGTCCTCACGGAAGGGCATGTACAAGGGCAGCGCCGGCCAGACCAGGAGCCGGGTACATCTGCAGTTCACCGGGAATGGGATCGCCAGCCCCTGGCCCCAAGGAAGAAGCTAGCCTGGGAGACACAAACCCTGGGCTGCCGGCTGTACTTAACAGTTTATCCTAGTTACAGTTAAAATTTTATTCATGCACAGAGGAGTTAGTGAGTAGCATTCTTCTGGAAGAGATGTGAAATTCTTAAAAAGGAAAAAAAACAAATCAAAAGATTAAGAAACAGTTTAAAAGTAAGCGTGGGAAATCTGGCAACTAGCAAAACTCCTTTTTAAGCATTTTGAGGGGGAAAAGCAGTGTGAGCCTGGAGGCCACACCTTCTGAGCTCTGGACTGCAAGTCTTTATTCTCTGGAGGGCAGGGAAAAGCTCAGAACTGCAGCGTCTGCTCCGGGGCTGGAAGCCCAAACATCCATAGCTTTTCTGGGCAAGCACAGAACCAGAGGAAACGAAAACTAAAAACAATCCGTGCGTGGAACAAGAGGCCGCGGTTTCACTTTAGCTTTACACTCACATAAATGTGGCCGTGGTTTTTAAACTAATAGAGCAAGGGGAGGACGGCGACTTTGAAAGCGAAATGCACGCAGCGCCTACTCTGGCTCTCCTGCTGGCCCCGGGCTACAAAGTCGTGGGAAATTAGAGACAGCTCTTTCCAGGCAAGGGCACAAAGCCCTCTGGCCTCAAACACCAGAGTCCACAAACAAGAGGAACACGCCCGAAGCGATTCCTGGGCCCACGCGTGGGGGGCTCCGGGTCGCTCTGGGGCTGCGTGTCCACCCTCCAACCTCGACTCACTCGCGCGTCCAGGGCAGGTGAAGGCGCCAGCTGGGGAGCACCAGAGCGGCGACGCGGGGTCAAATCCCGGCGCCAGCTCCTGGGACCCCCGCCGCGCCGCT